GGAAACTTGTAACACTTGGAAACATCCCTGACACTTGGTACCTGTCAATTCATGTTAGCTGTGATGGTGGTGGTGACACTGCTCCTGTGACTAGTGATGATGATGGTGTTGATGGTTGTAGTCAAGATCATGGTGATTTGGTGGTGGTGATGAGGATGATGGTGATGGTGATATGAATGGCGCTAATGATGATGGTGATGATGATGACTGTGTCGAGAACGATGGTTAGGATGATGGTGATGGTGATTTTAATGGCGTTATGGTGATGGTGATATGTGATGGCATTGATAATGATGTTGGTGATACTGATAATGATGATGACAATCATGGTGATGGTAAAGAAGATGATGAGATGGTAGTGAATATGTGGAGCCTCCTTCTTCCCATAAAACTACACATTGTGATCTTACTCTTTAGTCATCTTCATGGTGGAAGAACATTGAAGAGTAGAGTTGTTGAACATCCAAGAGGGCAAGGCCTAGCAACACAGATAAATGAAGAAGGTGAAAGTCATGTGTGGGCTTTCCCCAACAGAGTTGCTCTGGCTTGGTTTGCTAATCACCTGGTGTCAGAAAATAGGAATTGTAAGGGAGAAGGGAGAAGGTTGATAGGGTCTGTAGAGCCCAGTCTGGCTTTGGCATCTTCCTGGCTCCAGGTATCCATTCCTGTGCTGTGTTAAACTTTATCCTGCTTCACTGAACTGCTCACAATGCCTCTCTCCTCTTCAGGTTCTCTCACTCAAAGGAAAATAAGATGGCAAAATGTAGATTTAGAGAAGGTGAAGGTGGGAAGAAAAAGAAAAGTGAGGCAACCTGACTCAGGTGTTCAATTTCACATGGTGAAGTAGGGGGGAAGGAGGCAGAGAGAGAAATGAAAAGAGTTCCTGCCTTTGCAGTAGAGTGATCTTCCCACATGGAATTCTGTCCCAGTCTTTGTTTATGGTTCTCACCAATCAGACAAGTAACTTCGAGTATGGTGTGGGAGGTTGGGACTAAACTTATCTTAGAAAACCATGCAGCCCCCAGGACAGTAAGTACTGTGCTCTACTGGGGAAAACGCTGACATTGGAGTCCAGCAGACTAAACTACCTCTGTTGTTTTTTATCTATGGACTTGGATTGTTTGTTCTGTTTGCTCTTCCATATGTCTGATGGGGATCATCAACCATCACCATCACTGCAGTTACCAGCATTTTTTCAACACTATCATCATGATCACAGGATTGCTTGCAGTTGAATGAGATAAAGTATATGAGGCACTGTGGTGTTCTCTGGTTGCCATAAAAAGACCACCACAAGCTTGGCACCTTAAGACAACAGAAATTTTATTTTCTCATAGTTCTAAGTCTTCAGGTCTTAGACCAAGGTGTTGACAGGGCCATTTCCCCCTCTGAAGATCCTAGAAAAGCATCCTTCCTTGCCTCTTCCTGGTTTCCAGTATCTCTGGAAATCCTTGGCCTTCCTTGGCTTACAGCTACATCACTGCAGTATCTGCCTCCGTCTTTACACAACTATCTTCTCTGCAACCTTCTCCCTTCTTTATGAAGGCACAGTCATTGGATTTAGGACTAACCCTAATCCAGTGTGACCTCATCTTAACTTGATTGCATCTACAAAGACCTGATTTCCAAATAAGATCATATTCATAGGTACTGGAGGTGAGGACTTCAACAAATGTTTCTGAGGGACTTCAGCAAATGTTTCAAGTCACTACATGTACCTCATCCAAAGACTGGTACATTGTAGGTGAGAAAAATTATGCATTTCCTTTACCTCTCCATCTCTCTTCCCAAAGCTGTGAAAATAAGTTGTTGCCTTCTTTGAGGGCACAGATCGCTTATCTTTAGCTCCCTTGTTCTCTTTAGAGACAAGAGGTTTTTTTGTTTCTATTCCATCAATATTTTAACATAACCTTATTGCAATGCTATTCATATTTATCTGGTTTGTTGATTTTTTTTCTTGTCCAGGAGGTGCACAGTCAGAACTCAGGAATCAGAGGGATAATTTATAGAGAACTTGGATTTCATTTTAGTGCTAATCAAAATTCAAGCTTTAGGATTAGGAGGATGTTATAGCATGGAAACAACTGGCTTCCTGGCAGTCTGTGGTAATAGCCTCTGTTGATGGAGGCTGATTTAATATAGGAGAGTTGTATGTGGCATCACACTTTGATTGAAGTTCCAACGAACATCTGGACTAAAACTCCTATTTGTGACCTGACTTAGTTTTGACAGTCTGGGAAATCAAGTTGGCCTGGTTGGTCTGTCCAAAATAAATTTAACCAAAGCTGCATTGTGGCCACAGGAATAAGGAATAGGCTTATCATCTTCTAACTTTTAAACAATACATTTAGGGGTCTTGTGGTTTGTAGCCATTTTGAATTAAACTTGTCATTACAGGTTGGCTTTTCTGGAAACAGATGCTGAGATAGGGTTTGGGGTATAATATACTTAACACTGTGCAAAAAAATAGCACAGCTAACCCAAGACGGCTGTCTTGAGAAAGGACAGTTTACGAGATTGGCCCTTGGCTGGCATCTGAAAACTTGGATTTCAAGAGGATTTTTACATTCTCAAGTCTGAGAATAGTGGTTCACTGTGCCTGAACTGTTTGTATAAACCATATAGTTTATGTTGAATGCTTGCTGTCCTTCCTGGCATTTGGAATTTCGGTACATGCCAGGCTGAGGGTGACTAAGTGATCAGCCTGAGTAAAAACCCTGGACACTGTGTTCCTGACGAGCTTCCCTGGTGGACAGCATTTCACATGAGTTGTTGCAGTTCCTAGCTGGGGAAATTAAGTGGGTCTTGGGTGACTCCACTAAAAGAGAGGGCTCTCGAGCTTGTGCCTGGTTTTCCTTGGGCTTGATCCCATTCAGCTCTTCCCTTTTTTCATTTTGGTTTATGTCTTTTTACTGTAATGAATCACAGTTATTAGCAGAACTACATGCTGAGCCTTCTGAGAAACCTCTGAGTTAGTCATTGAAACTGCAAGTGGTCTTGGGGACCCTTGGGACAACAAGTGATCCTCTAGGAGAGGAAGAGGAATAAGTTGAAATGTAAACTGGGCTGACAAATCCTCAGCCAGCCTGGTGGGGCACTCTTGGGCAAGCATTACCTCGCCAGGCTAAAGCAGCTGGCCATTGTGCCCCTGCCACACTCTGCTGCTGGCTGTCAGTTGTCTCAGGAAGGGCATGTCCTCAGACGAGGTTCTCTGCAGCTGATACAGACCTTGAAATCAGAGTCTGTCTGCTGAGCACATGGCCCATAGTTAGGCACCATGTCCTTTTTTGAAGGATGATGTGGGTAATCCTTGCTACCAAACTTTCCTTAAAATTGTCATTATATTTTATCCTTTCCTATGAAGATAATGCATGCCCGTTGTAGGATCTTAGAAAACAAAGACATATAAAAAAGATGAAAAAATTCATGGAGTAATCATATCCAGACAAACTTCTGGAAGATTTTCTGTGTAGCTGACACATGTATATGTAGCAACTGTGTGATTTTTGTTCAGTGAAATTGAAATTATCCTATGTATATAGTTTAGGATCTGTTTCTCAAACTTACATTTGGGTATAAGCCTTTTAAAATATCATTAAAAATTCATTCAAAGTCTTTTAAATGGTAAGGTATTCAGAACTACAGGGGAACTTAAAAGCACCCACAAAGCAAAAGAAGACCCTTCTGAAAGTTCCTCAGGCACACATTTGCCATCAGAGGGGTCAGACCATCAGCATTCGGAGGTAAGAAGATTATAGATTCTGAGTTATACACTCAGCCAAGCTATCAATCAAAGTGAGGGTACAGTAACAATTTCAGACATATAAAAAAAGGATATCTTTTCTAATAAACAAATTTATTTGAGAATATATAAATACTGAGGGTTAAATACTCCATTAAAAAAAGAAAAGTATCCAATAAAAAGAAAGAAATGAGGCCCAAGAAGTTATTCTTCAATCAGTGATGCTGTGACAATATAAAAGGCAGTGAAGGCAACCTTAGCATGATGGTCATGCAGCAAACCTAGATAGTAACCAGTCCTGGTTAAATCAGACAGGCAGAGAACTCTGATGATGACTTTAAGAAAAAACAAATTTGACTTTCTATAACAGTAGCATTAAGGATACAGGAATGTACCAGGAAGAAAAAAAAGGAAGGCAATGATAAACCTCAGGAAAAACAAAAAGTTACACAAGGAAATATTTGTCCAAATTTGAGCAAACAAAAAATGCAACATAATTGTGCATAATTGCTGAGCTCTGAGAAGGAGGAGGGTGTGAGGAAGGTGTTCCTTTGAGGGCCACATACTTAGTGACACAGAATTACATTCTATTACTTTATTCTGCAGTGAATAAATTTGCCTAATCATAATGAGGTTGTCTTTTTTTAATTTTGATTTTTTAGAATTAACCTATAAATGTTACAATGACTGAATTATGGTTGCAGAAAAAAATAGATATGTCATAAACCTAATAGATGCTGGAAGGTAGAAGTGGGGAAGGAAGGAGGAGACAAGTGTGCGGCACTAATTGCACCTTCTTTCTTAGTAAGAAGACAAGAAATAGTATCTAAATGTCATGCCACAAAAATTGAAGGTTAATTGTTTCATTTAAAGTTACAGGTTGTTGAGGGAAGATGAAAGGGTGATGAGTTCTCCCTCCAGCCTCTGCAAAATTCTGAATTTAGGAAAGTGTCACAGATTGTTGGTGCTGACCTAGGGTTGTCACATATTTGACTTGGGAACTCAACATTCTGCACTGCTGGGTGCTGGGTGGCCCTGTCATGCGTAGGCCACCATGCATCAGCTCCTCACTCATCCCACTTCCCACTCCATGGAAACCCAGGCTCAGAGAGGACTAGTGAGGACCTTGAGGCAACCAGCCCATCTCTGGTTGGCTCTGGACCCTGCTTCTTCGTCTCTGACTCCTGGCTGTGTGCTTGACTCGGGAGATGTGAGGCATGACCACATATGAATCCTACTCTCTTGCTTATGCCCACAGGTCCTGCCACACCATGGTCTGCACGCAGCAGGGTTCTTTGCTGCCTTCCTCCTCTCCCTTGTGCTGACCTGGGTTGGACTCTTCTTCATGGTTCGATATCAGTGTCTGCAGGGAAATGTGTTCACTAGACATCGGGTGAGTTCCTTCCCAGGGTAATCTGGCTGGTGGGAGACACCAGGTTGAAGTTCATCCTCCAGCACAGGGGCTCCCACCTGGATCTGTCCCACAGGGAGCTATGGACAGATACTCATACCCAGGCCTAGCTCAGATTCATGTATCCTGGTATGTGTCCCCACCATTGAAAACTTCCTGCAAGCTGCCAGGTGCCAAGTGTGAGAGACTCTGATGGTCTGGCATCCTGCCTTGCTGGGCAGCAATGTGTTTTCTGAAGAAAGACTTTGGGAGACTTGCTGTCAACCTTGGGTGAAGCCCAGACCCCTGTGCCTGGCCTATGAAGCCACCAGGACTGGCTTCTACCCCCTTTTCCTGCCACTTTCTGCTTTACACCCCAATCTCCTGCCACATCAAGTGACCCTGGCTTCCCTAAGCTTCTATGTACTCACACCTGCGCAATTTCCTGGTCCTCTCTTCCTTCCTCAGTAAGGTCACTTCTTACCCATCCTTTAAACCTTAATTTGGGCATCACCTGGCCAGAGACAACTTCAGGTACAGTAGAGCCCTCTCTTTGGGCCTCCAGTTGACTCCCCCAGCACTTGTTATAACCCGTCAGACCTGACTGTGAATTCCCAGCCTCTGTGTTCCTGTCTTAATCTGGGTTTCCACAGAAGCACCTCCCAAGACCAGTAGTTTATATGGGAAGTGATCCCAGGGAAACCTGGGGGTGGCAGGAGGTGAGGCAGGAAGGGACAGCAGCACCAGCACCCCTGTGTGCCCAAGAGCTTACTCCTGCCCAGGAGACAGCACAGAAGTAGCTGTGGGGTCATCCCACCTGAGGTACGAAGGCCTGGAATCCCTTTGGTCATTGTTTGGGGATAAGGAGGCATGAGGCAAGGAGGGAGATGATATTTATGTCCCTGGCTTGGCATCTAGAGGCCAACAGACTCCTTCAGGGAAGGTGTGTGGGTGTTGGCTGGTGGATTTGGGGCTGCTGGGTACTGAGGTGGTAAGGGCGGATGGGGGCAAAACACAGTGGGCAAAGGGCTCTGCTGTGACCCAGAGGTCCAACATCTCAAAAAGGATATCTGTCATCTTTCTTCCTCACCTTGTGTAGAGAAACCTGAGGTCCATGAATTTAAACAACTTGCTTTGAGTGGCCAGGCATAGGCTGGAGCCTGGCTTCTGGGGCTCCCTCTCTCTGGAGCCTGAGTCCCACCCCAGCCCAGGTGAGGGGCCCATTGTTCATTTTATTCCTACATCCTGGAGAAGATTGCCATTTTGAAATGAGGTCAGCCCACAGTCTCTTTGGCAAGAAAAAGTAGGAGAAGAAAAGCAGCCATCTGATTAGACCTTGTGCTTGTGCTCCCAGTGCTGTTATCAGTCAGGACAAAACTCAGCTGCTGCTTGGATGGAAGAGCAGGGTTCACTTCCCAGAGATTAAGGCAAACTGTTACAGCTATGCAGAGGCAGGCAGGATCTGAATTGATTTAAGGTCTAAAGACCCTGGCAGTATTTTTTCCTGGCATCACACCATGAACCTTTCACATTTTTCTTTACTTTTTCTTGCCAGTGTGGTGGTGACTAACACAAAAACATGTCATAAAACAGAAGGCAGGCTTCAGAGTCAGAGTGGGGTCACATACTCAGAGAGCAGTGTGGTCTGCAGTGATGTTACTGTGCATCTCTCTGAGGCCGGGTTTCCTTCTCTGTGAAGTACGGGGACCAGCACTTACTTTGTATGACAGCATCATGATATAGCACTTAGAAGCACCTGGAATAATGGGAGCCTGGCAATGGCACGGGAATTCTTAAATGCTAGCTACAGCTACCACCCATTCCTGTAGAGTTAATAGTAGTGGGGAACCAAGCATTTGTGTTACATACCCAGTCAGAGGGTCAAGGATGATCATCTTGAGTGTCTTCTCCTGCTCCCAGTCCTGTCCTCTGACTAGAAACCAGGTGGATCCCACTCCCACCCTGCCCACAGGTGCCTCTACCTGCCGGGGATGGGGATGGTGGTTATGATAGTGAAATATTTTGATAGGTTTTTACAGGTTGAAAGGACTGTATCCATCCATTGCTTCATTTTATCCTCACAGCACCCCACACAGTGCTTGGAATTATAATCCCATTACTTTGATGGGAAAATGGAGGCTCAGGGAAGTGCATTGGGTTTTCTGAGTTCATCCTGCTCACCTGTGGTGGGCCGGATCAGGTTCTCTGCAGATCCCCTGCCTTGCTCCCGACTTCCCAGCATGCAATATTCACAAGAAGGCACACTCAGTTGTCGTTTCTGCAATTTTCCTGAAGGTTGGGCATCATGAGAGCAAGCTGGAGCCCCTGCTGTTCACTTTGGAGGATGGTGTGAATGAGGACCTTTCCCTTAACGAACAGCTGATAGACATTCTGTCCTCTGAGGACTCTGGGAGCACACTTCAAGCCTTAAAAGAGTAAGAGTTCTAAATCTCATGGATGTGGTGATGAGTGTTTCAATTACCATGGCGCAGTACACACAGAGTGTATCTCAGTCATCTGTCACTTCGTGGTCCGCCGCTCGGCACTGAACACACGCTTGGCATTTGGGAGAAGAGGTGTATGTGGTATAATAAGACCTACTTGGAGGCGGGCTGATCTAGCAGGGAAGGTAGACACAGACACGGAAGTGACATGAAGTTTGGCGAACACCATGCTAAGGGGAAGATCAGGGCTGATGAGGCACGAAAGAGGAAGTAGTTACTTCTGAGAGGGTAATCGGAAATGCTTCCCAGAGGAGGTGATGTTTAACTAGTTCTTGAAGCTTTTCAGACAGAGGGAAAAGGGGCAGATGCAAAGATGAGAAATGAGCATGACGTGTTTGGTGAAATGTGTGGCTGAGGTCTGGATTGGGGTATTGAATACAGGAAACAGAGCAGAGGCCAGAGCATGTGACGTGGCTGTTCGCTGAACTGGATCCACTTCTTTTCATTTATTTAATGAATATTGACCTTGTACTGCCTTTATGCAATAGAACATAGTGCCGATGCCATTTACAAACTTTACAAGAACTACCCTTGATAGCCCTGTGAAGTAGGTGTTGGTGTTCTTGCCATCTCATGGATGAGGACTGGAGAGGGATTGAGTGGCATACCCAGGCACACGCTAGCAAATGACAGAATCAAATTTCAAACCCGGTCACCGGGCTGCAGGGTCCAGCCTCTTAATCAAGGTGCTCCCTTGCCTAAGATTTCTCTTGGCCAGGCACCTGGGTCACAGGCTAGTGGTTGACCATCACTAGATAAGGTCCATCTGGGTGGCCTTTCCATCTTTACTTTCAACAAATATTTACAGATGACATCTTTGTATTTCTTTGTTCAGTTTTGAGTTGTCTGCCAAAAGTTTTGCTCTTATCTTTATTTTCAAACATATTAATCGTGATTGTTTTAAAGTCTCTGAAAACTTCATTATCTGTAGCCCTATTCTGTGCCTGTTGTCTATGTTTCATCTTAGTTTTTGATTTTGTTTTCTTGTCTCCTCATGTGCCTGGATATTTTTAATTATGTGCCAGACATTGTATTTGATAAATGAGAAGACCATTTGAGGACTAAGGTGATGTGATTTTCTTTCCAGCAGCTAGGAATGTAATTATAGGTTACCTTAATACACTCAGATTTAAGTCATTCAGAGCTGGGCTTCATTTCCTCCAGATCAAATTCTTATTTGGTTATATCCAATTTTATTTTTCCTTTGTTTTCTTTTTTGTTAGACTGTTGATTATTAATAATGAGGCCATGTGGAAACTCCCACATTGGCTTCCATTTGCAGAAAACCCTTCTGTTTCTAGATTTAAGACACAAAGTTCCCTGCCCACTGGGGAGGAATTTCTATGGATTGGGAGTCATCATGATGCCAGTAAACTATAATGTCTAATTTTTGTATTTAATACCATATATTTGTGTCATATTAAAAAATGTACAGTCTGCTCCACACACCGTATTTAGTTTCATCCTCATAGAGTGTTATTTGGCAACATATCTTATTTTTAGCATTTGACAGTTGAGGAATCTGAGGCTTTTAAGAGTATTATCCACAGTTACACATCTGGTGAGCGAAGAACAGGACTTGAGCTTTGTCCCTACAGTCTCCACACCTTCTAGCTTTCACAAATTCTCCGAGCCTCAGTTTCCTTACCCCTCAAATGGGCCTCAAATGGGGAAACCACAATGTACTAGTACAACATCCTTCAGGGAATGGTTACCTCGGAGCCTGGCCCAGGCTAGTAGACAAAGAAGAGAGGCTCCCGGGATAATTAGCACTTCCTTGAGTCTTTCTCAAGAAAATTGAAAACAGCACTGAAAATGGTACTGCTTGGAAGCAAAATTGAGCATCTGTCTGATCCTCCTCCCTGAATCCAGGAAACAGCATTCGTGTGGCGTATAGAGCTGAGTCCAGGATAGAGACAGAAACCTTGTCCTTTTACAATAGGAATGACTACTACCTGGCCTGGGTGAAAAGCTCTGTTGGGACTGACTCAGTGCATGTCCTCAGTGGAGAGGAGCAGAGAGTGCTCAGTCCTCCCAGTGCATTATGAAGAGCCTGGCCTGGAGCCTCCTAAGTGCAGGGCCAAGTGAAGAATCAAGCCTTGTTCACCCATTTCTGGGTGCTTGACTAATTAAGCTTTCTGTAGCCATTCAGGAAAAAATTCTTGATTTTATCTGAACTTCCCTAATCAGAATGGCAAGGATGACAAATTAAAATTTGCCACCTTATCTGGGCGGGGATGGGGGAGGGTGTTGGAGGTGGACAAGCAGTGAAGAGATATCCATAAATGTCACCTATTATATTAAGTGGTATGAGCAAGTGGTTATCAAATGGTTTTCTGGCTGAAAGTTTTCTTACAAAGGAAAAAATGAAAAGTATAATGAAATGATTTGGTTTGTGTAGTCAATACCTGAATACTCTTTTTTTTTATTTTTTTGAGACAGAGTCTCACTTTATTGCCCTTGGTAGAGTGCTGTGGCATCATAGCTCACAGCAACCTCCAATTCCTGGGCTTAGGAGATTCTTTTGCCTCAGCCTCCTGAGTAGCTGGGACTATAGGCGCCCTCACAATGCCCGGCTATTTTTTTGTTTGTTTGTTGCAGTTTGGCCAGGGCCAGGTTTGAACCTGCCACCCTTGGTATATGGGGCTGGAGCCCTATCCACTGAGCCATAGGCACTACCCCAATACCTTGATATTCAATTTGCAAGTACGCAGTACCCTATAACCTCTGACCAGAGTAATTAGGTCTTTCAAATAGGAAAGTATTTAATCCTCTGTCTTTGCTTTTGATTCAAAAAGCGATGGAATCTAGGCAGCCCTGGTTTCCTTTATCCTTAGAGCATCCTGTGGCATATAGCGCTGAGTTAGGATAGAGACAGAAACACCTCTGCCTTATCCTTTTATAATTTTATTACACGAAATTCTAAACAGCTACTGCAATTTGCTGGTCCTGGTGCTCAAATGCAATAGTGATGTTGACATTAGCAAAGATTTCATATTTGTATATCACTCACTCAGTAGCTCTGGAATTTTATATTTATTTCTGCTTAGGAGCCCATCGTATGTTGCCTGAAGAGTTTTTAACATTGCTTATCAAGCATAGCCGGGAGGGTTTGGCTTGAGATTTATCCCTTTCTTCCTCTCTCCCAGTTTCCCATCCTCCCTCCTCTTCCCCACATTCTGTGTTTTTTGAACACTAATCCTGTTTTTAGCATTGTAGTTGGACACTAGTTTTAAGAACCCAGTCTTTTTTTTTTTAATCCTATCGTCATCAAATACTTTTAATCTTTCCATCTTGACTTATAGTCAAGCTAAAGAAATCCGAGAAATAACATGTCACTCAGAATGTCAAGGGCATGGAAATCTGTGGTGTTCTCTCCACTAAAAACAGCACTTTTCTCTAGCAGATGATTTACCCTGCTCCTTTTTCTTACATGAGGTTTTGGTGGGATTCTGAATATGCCATTAGGTCACTTGACTGTTACCGCCTTTCAAGACCCCTCAGAGCGTGACTGTGGGCTATCTTGCTGTTTGTTTTTGATACAGAGCATTTCCTTGGGTTGGTTGCTTGTCTCTGACGTTGCTTATTTATACATTGCCTCTTACAGAGAAGGTTTGAGGAAGGAATGTTGCCTTTGATTTTTGTCTGGTTCCTTGACTGTGGTCATAATGGAGGTGGGCTCAGCCCCAGCACCTGCTGAGACCCAGGGGAAGGACGGCATGGCTGGCAGGTCCCAGGAGCTTCTAGGGGCAGCGTGTGTCGGTGGTCCTTTAGCTTCAGCTTTGCTGTGGGACTGACATCCCTCGCACCTGGGGTCTTCATCTCACGCATCACTTACATTTTAGGCCAGGAAGGTGACGTTCAGAAAAGTTTATTGGTTTTGCTAAGGTTGCACAGGTATGAATGGATGTGGCCCAGGCCTCAGTGTGTTTAAATCTACTATTCTTTTGACAGAATAGGTTTTCTAAAAGACTGAGCTTAGATTTTACAGAGAGGCAAAGAAAATAAGAAAAGAGTCCAGACCTGTGTCTGTTCCCTTGTTGTTGGAAGATTATCACACATTGCCACTAAATTGTCTCACACTTGTGTTCTGTACAGAGGAAGTGTTCACTAAGTGTTTGCTGAGTTGAAGCATTTACATATGTGTGTGGAGTTGTTCTATTTATGTGCCTACCAGATGGTATATTTTTATAACTATTGCCCTTTTTATTCTTTACACGCAGTCTACAGAAAAGTAACTTTGTTCCTTACCTCTAAAGACTTAAAGCCCAAGGAAATTAAATGACTTGTCCAAGGCTGCTGTGTTCACTCATTCTTTGCCTGGGCTGATTGTTCATGCTGGCAGCACTGATAAAAAGCAATTAAGTGATCGATTATTCCAGCAGATTCTTGCTCAGGGCCCATTCTGTGCCAGGCACTGTGGTAGGCCCTGGCTGGATACTGTGAACAAGAGTCTTGGTTTTTGTCCTCATAGAATACACAAGCAAAATACAAATGAGGTGTCCGGGGGACTGTGGTAGGAGCCGTAAAGGGACGCGGGGCTCTGTTACAGGATCCTGGGGCGCCCCTCTGAGGGTAGGGGTTGGGCTAAGAGCTGGTGGTGGATGCTGTTGTATTCTGTCTCACCCACCTAAGGAGCAGGTTCTGTCTTGCTCACCAGTTTGTCCCCAGTGCCTCAGACAAGTGCCTGGCACACAGTAGGTGCCACTACACAGTGCTGTGCTTGATGGACTGTCAGTAGCAGGTGAAATCTGAGGAGTTGAGGTTCTTCAACAGCAAAGATTAGGAGAGGGAGAATCTTGCCCAGACCAAAAGATAATACTACGTGCTCCCACATGTGGTGTGGCCTCACAGCTTACCAGGTTCCTCTGAGACATCTGGCTGTGGTTGGCCACTCTTGCCAAGTGAGATCCTGCCATGAGGACGCGCTG